TGGCTGGGTGTGGGTCAGCGGGTGGTGAGCAATTGCCCTGCACATCATTTGTACATTCCAATCCTTTTATTACTACTGTTGTCATTTTATTAGTGTTATCATTATCATTATTAGTTTCTTCTTTTCTATTCTATTAAACCGTTCTTATCTCAGCCCATGAGTTTTACTTCTTTTTCCCGATTTACTCCCCCATCCCACTGGATGGGGGGAAGTGAGTGAGCGGCTGCGTGGTGCTTAGTTGCTGGCTGGGGTTAAACCACGACAGACATTTCTCGGAAATCTAGTGAATCTGTATGTAGAACATGTACTTAACCTGCACAATTAGACCCGACGGTGTGCACGATAGGTGCAGCGATCCCCCGTGCATCCAGCCCTGCCAATAAAGAATACCTATGAGACAAGGGGAGTCAAAAGAATCTCAGTAGACATAATAAAGGGGGGTGAAAGATGATGTTTAGTGCTTACATTGTTGAAATTAGCTGAGGTAGAGACAGTCCTTGATAAGAAGAGCTGGTCCCAAGAACCAGCCAATGAGGAAAAGACAGTCCTTGATAAGAAGCAGGAGCAGGCCCCAAGAGCCAGCTAAGACTGGTCTTGCGGCTTGGGTGAATACCAAGAAATCACTGAGCCTGTGCAAGGAAAAAGGTTACTAGCGGTGACGAAGAGGAGTCATCTATCTTCATCTCTGCGACCACTAGACGACCACCATAAAGAGGCCCAGCGAGTAGGCTGGCGGGGGGGGCACAAGAAGTTGGGATAAGACACAGCCGGGACAGCTGATCCCAACTGACCAAAGGGATATTCCAGACCATATGGTGTCATGTTCAGCATATAAAGCTGGGGCGGGGGGGAAGAAGGACAGGGAGATGTTCGGAGTGATGGCGTTTGTCTTCCCAAGTCACCATTACGCGTGATGGAGCCCTGCTTCCCTGGAGATGGCTGAACACCTGCCTGCTGATGGGAAGCAGTGAATTAATTCCTTGTATTGCTTTGCTTGTGTGCGTGGACTTTGCTTTGCCTACTAAACTGTCTCTATCTCAGCCCACGAATTCTCTCACTTTCACCCTTCTCATTCTCTCCCTCCATCCCACCAGGGAGGAGCGGACGAGTGGCTGCGTGGGGCTCAGTTGCTGGCTGGAGTTAAACCATGACAGCCCCAAGACACACACCACCTCCTCCTGCATTCCCCTCTTTCAGACACGCACCGTGGTCCCCTCGCACTCATGTCCCTTGCACTGCCCTCTCACGAGGACACGCACCACTGACACACGGACGTGCTCCTCAGCACACACACCCCACCCCCAAAGCAAGTAAACCAAATCTCAAAATTAGGATGAGATTTGCCTTGAGGGGGTGCATCGGTCATTAGGTGCGTGTGAGCTTTGGTGTTTCAAGGAAAGGACATCTCCGGAGATGGGGACTGCATTTCGGTCCTTGCTCCCAGGCCAGCTCTCTCTCCGATGGCCTTCCCAAGGGCAGAGGGGATGCGTGTCCATCGCCATCAGCAACGCTCACCATTGGTCTCAGTGCTCCCCCCCCCCGCCTTGCAGTGATGCATGCGTTAGGAAGGGAGGAGGTTTGTGGTCCTAAAATCCACTTAAAATTAAAAATAAAGACAGTTGGTGCCTGTACAGAGCTGGAGTGACCAGCCTGTGCCTTGCTGGGGATTGCTCTGCAGGCAGAAATGAACAGAAAGCTGGGGGTTTTCCCTAAAAAAAAGCCCCCCAAATCCCCAAAACAACCAA